TGCAAAGCAGCACCAAGCACCAGGGATGGCCAGAAGCAGCAGGGAGCAAACGCTGCAGGCGAGGGCAGGGACACAAACCCCTCTCTGGGGTGACTCTTCTCAGCGACACGTATCTATCCCACGCCATTTCCTCATTGCATCCAAACATGAGAGCTCAGCCTGAAACCCAGTCCCTGTCTCCAGCACTGTGCCGAGGGGAGCCAGAGGAGCCCATGCCTTCACCCCAGCTCTGGCCCGCATTGGCTGTTTCCCCGTGCCTCAGTTTCCCTTGTGCCAAAAATGAGGGATGCACGACTTACATGAGGACGGGTTTGATGGCGTTCTTGATGTTGCCGTACGCCGCTCGGCCCAGCAGCTCCCGCAGACACCTCTCCGCCAGCTCCGTAGGACTCTCCTTCTCCTTCTCGGTGGCTTGCAGCGGGGAGGGGGAGCGGCTGCGAAAGCAGAGGAGGGCGATGAGAGCGGCACTGACTGTGCAGCAGCAGTGGGGGAGAAGAGGCACGGAACCCGGCCAGGGAGGGTTGGAGCAAAACGGTCGTGGCATCTGCCCACACCCCGCGCTGCACAGGGCCGCGGGCTACCCCTCGCACAGCCCACAGCCACCCCGCAGCAGCCAAATGTCACCCTGCCAGGCAGACGGGGCAGCTCCATCCCCGCAGAGCCCAGTGATAAAGCGCTGCTGGATTTGAGCCAGATCAGGGAGCAGCACGGGTGCATGGAAGGCAGAGGAGGGGGACGTGCCAGGACGGCCCCGCTTGCAGTGCCAGGCTGTGCCAGGCAGCAGGGACAGCCCCCGCGTCCCTGGGACCAGGAGGAGGATCCCGGTACTCGGTGTTGGAGGGGGAAGGATCTTACCGCTGACCATGCAGGACATAACGTCCTCCCAGGGTGGACGCAGCCTCCCAGGGGAGGAAGAGCAAAGCAGTCACGGTTTGGCACAAGTCACCCTGAACATGCACACCCCAGAGGAGATCCAGCCCCTTTCTCCGCACTCGGGCTGTTTGGCATCACAGAAACACCACGAATGCTTTTTCCACCTTGATGCTTCAGTTTACAAGAAAAAGGGAAAAGGCACCTGGCCAGAAGCCAGCTTCCCAGGGCTGATACATCTCTCTCAACCTTCAAAAGGAAAATCCCAGGAGGAATTCATGCCTGCTTCTCTGCTCTGCGCTTCTCAGCTAAGCATCTCCCCTTCAAACACCCAGCTGGTGGCAAGCACGCAGCCAGCGGGGGGGTTCCGCCGGACGAACGGAGGGACAGCGAGCAAAAGCTGTATTTCAGTTCCTGAGATTCCTCTTGCCTGGCTTTAAAACAACTTCTTTGGTAGCACTGAAGCAGGAATCCCTCCCAGAGGTCAACCCGCTGAACAGGCAGCTCAGAGCCTTTGCAAACAGTGTGCTTTAACTGCAGGGACAGCGCAGAGAGCTCTGCTCCACGGGAGTCACGGTGCCCTGCAGTGGCCAAGACAGCAATAACCTTCACGGCACCGGGTGACAGGCAGAGCTCCTGCCACCTGCGGCATCCTTCAGCAGGGCTTCCCCTCTGGCCACTCGCCGCGTTTTTCACGAGCTGCAGACACAAATCAGCCTGCAACGCTTCTGCCCTGCAAAACCTTGCCAAAAGCAGCGCCAGGGCCCCGAAGCCGCTGGTGGAGCAGGCGGGTCACGGCAGCAGCGAGCACTCACCTTTCGGCCTCCTCCACGTGCTGTAAGTTGAAGAGCAGCGAGGGCACGATTTTGTCCATGTGCTGTGGGTCCCAGATGTTGGCTTGGAGCTCATCGTTCACCGTCTTCCTCACCACTCCTTGCAGGCCTTTAATGCCGGACATCCGGATCCTGGGGAACAAATTGACACCAAAATGCTACATATCTATATAGCATACGTTATTTTACATTTATATACACATATACACACGGGTGAAACTGTGCAAGAAGTTGGAGAGAAGACACCCATTTCTGCGCTGCTGGAGGGGTTCAGGCAGGCGATGCCCCAGTTCCAAGCTCTGGGCTTGGTATACCCCGGGGCAATCCTTCGGCCTCGTATCCCCGAGAGACGCGGCTTCCTGCAGCCCGCCAGACGTGAGCGGGAAAGGCTCTGAACCAGCTAAAAGTCATCCTGGCAGCAGCAGCCAGCTCCCATCCACTGCCTTTCCCAGGAGGCCCCCAGGCAAGCAGCAGCCACCCGTCTCCACGGCACGCGCTACCCGAGATGGAGAGGCGGCACCAGCGAGCTCGGCCTCTCCGAAGGATTGGTTTTGGACCTGGGAGGTCTCCGCTCTCCAGCTGCAACATGCATGGAGGGTTTTCCCCGTTTCCCCCGTCCCCAGCAGCTGCAGAGCCGTGCTGTGCCCACGGGGATGCTAGATGCTAGGGAAACCTAGGTGCTTTTTGACACCTGTGTCCTTTCTGGGACCAAAGATCCTGACTCTGCTCTAGGCAACGAGAAAGTCATCAGTAAAAATCTCCCTACGCAGCAGGATTCCCAGGTCTGAAACCAGCCCCTCAACACCTACGGCTCACGCCCGAGAAAGGTAGCACGTACTTATCTGCAGAAGTAAATGCATTAAATAACCTGCTCTGAGGTCTCCCTAACACATTTTTGCAGATCTAATCAAGGCAATAATCTGATCGAGACACAGTTCTTGAGGGAGGAGCACTGAGCAGGACCAAGGCCCCAGGAAAACAGCGTGCTCCTTTTTAATTACAGGAGCTGCCGAATTTCTCTCTTCCAGTCTCCAGTGTAATTTAGCCAGCGTCACCGGTGCCCTGAAGGTCAAGTGGAAATAATGAGCCTTCTGCATTATTTCTTTATTAAGGGGGGGAAAAAAAAAACCCAACGCCTGTGAGTCTGCAGCAGTAAAAGGAGGTGAGCCTGGTCCTCAGAGACAAGCCTCTGCTAGGAGTGGCGAACCTCAGGGGTTCGCCCCTCTGCAAGGCAACTGGTGCCCGGTACAGCAGCTCCGGGAATGGCACCAACACGACGGGCTGAAATGCTGCCTGACATCTGGGCTCTACTTCAGACTTGTCGCCGGCAGCAGTGGCCTCCTGCCCAGAGCGTCCCGGCGAGAGCCACAGGTGCTACGCCACCGGTGCCTCACCGGGTCATTTCAAGCGCCGGGTCTTTTTAAATACACCCCCGTCAGGCCTGGCCTCGGCAGCAGTAAACAACATTAATCTGTCTGCTTTAGTCGTAATTAATCCCCCTGGGGTACATTTCCCATCACAGCAAAGCAAGTCAGTCCTCGATGCTAGAGAAATGTAACCGCCTTTAAACGTGGAAAATAACAGACCGCACGGCTGCAGGAGGCAGTTTTTGAGTGAACATTCATGCTGCTAAGAGTGGGGGGCCTCTCCCCATCGTCATCGTCCTTCCTTTTGGGGCCCGGATCACTTCCTTGCCTCTGAGCTCCAGCTGCCTGCAGGCCGTGGCCCTGGAGCGAAGGTGAGAAACGCTTAAAGATGCACTGAGGCAGCCCTGTGACGGGCAGCCTGCGGGTGTTACCTGCTCACATTCTGCCCAAAGAAAAGAAGTTGGAAGCCTGAGGGCGCATTGGTTCCTCGTCCTGCCATCGGTCACGGTCAGGGCGAGCCGATGCCCGAGCACAGCTGGCCCTGCTCTCCGGACAGCAAATGCAAACCAACTTCTCTCACGCACGTGTAATACTGCGTGCAATATCCCACACAGCGACAGAGGCTGGGTCTGTGCTGCGCTGTGTTTTCTAGGCTCCCGTTTCATCCTCCCATATAGTCAGCGGGGTTTAATGCGTAGAAAATAAGGGAGGGTAGAGAACAGCAGCCTGAGCGCAGCCAGCCCCTGGGGAATCACTGCGCATCTCCGTCACAGCACAAAGAAATCAATCCGTGCACAGCCCGCGTCCAACCTGCCCCCAAAAGCAGGTGCTTCTCCAGGAAAGGCAGAGGCTGGGGGGGCAGGGAAGCCCCCCCAGGAGGCATTCGCAGAGCCCACGGGGCCAGGGACACCCTGCTCGCGGCACTCACTTCGTCCGGATGTCCAGGTCGTCGTGGCTGGAGTGGCACATCTCACTGAAGCGGGAGACAAAGAAGTCGTAGCTGCGGTGATAAGATGGGGTGTCCTCTTCGATGTTGGCAAACTTCACGAACTGGGAGAGAAGAAAGAGGGGGTCAGCCCAGAGGGCACGACAACAAAAATATTCTTAAAATTCCTCTCCAAACCGGCAAACATTTGTGGGCTTCAGCTCTTCACTACAGCAGCTCGGCGTGCGCTCGGGATGACAAGTCAAGCTGCCCAGCTGCACCCAGGACACAGGGTGCCCAAGCGGGAACGTGCCATCGTACTGTCCCACCGAGCTCCAGCAGCGCCCAGGCCCCGCTGCGGATGCTGCAGACCTCACCGCAAGCCCCAGTGGTCCCTGTAAAGGGCACTTAGAGGTGCAACGAGGCTCTGAGTTAGGGATCCCTAACATGCAGCACACACTAGTAACAGGAGATAAATTTGTCCCCAGCTTCTTTCCATCCTCCCAGACAGCACAAAACCTGGCCAACATTTCCCAAACGCTGCTGCAGGGATGAAAACGGCCTTGGAAATGCCAGTGGAGAAACCAACTGCAAGCAGGTTCTTAACCACATCCCAGATCTCGCCCGCAGCACCCAGCAGCATGAGGTCCCATCGCTCCCTTCCAGCTTGGCTGCGCCAGCAGGCGCGGAGCTTGCCAGAAATGCCAGCTGACCAGCAGATCTGGCTTTCAAGCTTTCAGGGAGAGAATTAAGGAGGAAGAAAGGATAAACATGTTTTCAAGCTTTCCTCTGAATTCTGAAACTTGTTCATGAAAAGATGGGAAAAAAGGGTCGGGCAGGAAGGGGGAACCTCAACTCATCCAGTCATGCTGACAGGGGTAGCTTTAAAAAAGGAAAAATAAAGAAAAACCTCAATAGTACAAGAGCTGCCACAAAATCCAAGGCATCGGCTCCTGGCTGGAACGTACAGAGCATTCAGCCTGTATCCACCCAACAGCGCCTGGTGCTGCGAATGGACGAGGTTTATCCTTGGCCTGGGACAAGCATCGTGCCACCAAGTCCCCGTTCTTTAACCTCCCACTCAGAGCAAGGGCGTAAGCAGCCGCTTGCCAAGATTTTAAGCAGGGGAAACCTGCTGGCTGCTTTTGTGCTCCCGTGCTGCACCTGCTTCAGCATGCGGGGAAAGCCTGAGGCCGTTTGCATGGGCCTGGGATGAAGGGAGAGGCAATCCTGTCCAAGCAATCCCCAGAACCACCCCAGCTGTTAACTGCTACCCAACGGCACTGGGAGAGCAACGATGCAGTGCCAATGCCGGTGCAGCCCCACTGCTTACGACAGCGCGGCACGAAGCTCTGCGGTCGCACCCAGCGATCCCACATCGCTCGGGCAAGCTGTCCTGGGCCGAGGCATCAGGGTTGCTGGGTTCCTCTTCCAGCTGGGAGGACCTAACCCACCTCCAAAGGGTTACCCCGTCCACCCGGCATTTCTTCGGGTGCTCAGCACCCTCTGGAGACGCCACGCTGCACGGGAGCTCCTTCTTTAACCCAACCCTACCCACAGGCTTTTCTCACTTCTTGCTTTCTGCGTTTGCTGGCGGCCGGCCCCGCCAGGAAAGCAGCAGGCAAACGGCCCACCGGTGCCCCTCCACAGCCGGCAAAGCCAGCCCGCCCGTCCCAGAGCATCACACAAGCCGCTGATTAGCATGCGCCCACTGTGCCGGGCTATTAATAATGTCAGCTGCCAAGGCTGGCTCTGCGCAAGCAAAGGAGCCGGCTCAGCCCTGCCAGGAACCGTTCCCAGAGCGCAGGGACTAGCTCCAACTGATAAACTCCTCTTACTCACCAGAAAAATGCAGGGCTGTTACATAAGAAACCTCTGTGCCCGGGGGCTCTCAAAGTGGGGTTTTTTTAAGCTCATGGCAACTCCACGTGCAACCGGAGGCAAGGGCAGGATGCCGAGTGAGGAGCAGTAACGAGGGCTCCCTGCGGCAGCTCCGGGAGAGCCGTCCCAAGCGTCCCGTGGCCAAGAAGCGCCGTGAAATAAAGGAAGGAAACGGCTTCTCTTGCAGCCGGTATCTGCAGGTATCAACCCCACACCCACGCGGAGGACGGCAGCTCGTTTCGTGCCATCAGGCAACCAAAACAGGACCGCCTCACCAGCGCTCCTTATTCCGAAGCTATCAAGGCCCCGGGGATTGCCAGCCCACCCAGTCTACAAGAGCAGCGCCCGTGGTTCAGCTCCCTGCCCCGAGGGCAGCTTCCCCGGCCGGCTGCCAGGCACAGCGAGCCCTGCTCGCCTCTGCCCTCGGGGGGACGGACATCCCCCCACGGTGCCACTGCGCCCGGTGACACTGGATGCAGCACAGTGTTCGTATCTGCCAACAGCTGGAGGCAGCTGCCCCCTCTGCATCCATTTTCAGCCTGCAGCCTCTGGCAGGGCCAGAACTTGTAAAAAGCAGCCAAGAACAGAGAAAAAATCAGCCTCGAAGCCTCCTTGCTCTGTCAACGGGACATTTTTAGGACTCTGCCACTTGTTCATAGACTGTTGCATTTTTCCAAGACTTTGCTGCCTCTACAAGGGCGCTGTACCATGCAGCAATTACGGGAGATGCCCAGCCCGGTCCCACTGCCCAGTGGCAAAAAGCAGCACCAGGACACATGGAAACGACCCAGCGAGAGCTGGGCCGGCAGGAAAGGAGGCATCAAACCTTCAGGGAAAGCGACTTATTTTCACTAACGGGCACCGCATCCCAGCCGAAAAGCTGCTCTGCAGCTTCATGCCGTCATTTCCACTGTGAAAACAGTTTAAAACATGGAAACGCAACACTATTTCTGCTGCGGTTTGAAGGGGGTGCGGGGCTGGGCAGCTTGGGGCTCCCATGCTTGAAGCCGACAAGCTCCGACTGAAACACGGCTGGGACGAGCAGGGAGCAAGCGCAGGGGAAACGCGAGGAACGCGGCTGCCTTGGAGAAGCAAAACAACGGCTGGGAAGGGATAACACTGCCACCTATAAATACATCGGACATAAATACATCAGAAGAGGAACATCAAGGTGGGGGAAGAGATGTTTAAACGAAAGATCAATGTTGGTTCGAGGAAAACTAAAATGGGAATGACATTGAGCTGGGAATTAGATGGTTCCTACCCAAAGCAGGGAGGTTGCCCAGAAGCCTCCTAATGAGGATGAGAAACCGGAGTGGATTTAAGCTGCAGCTCCATACGTTCATCCCGGGGATTATAGGATGGGGTTATAGCGATCATGGGATGCTGGATTTTCGCTGCGGGCTCCAGCACTGCGGCCACGGAGCCCGGCAGGCTGGTCCCCGGGATCAGCCCCTCCGCAGCGCCAACACCTTGGCTCTGCGCGAGGAGGGAGACGTGTCTCAGGCGAGATTTCATGCCGCGGAGAATGACTCACTTGGAGCAGGTTTCTATAAACAACCTCCTCCCGCCTTTGCCATCAGCTCCGTTATTGTGAAGATTGCTTGAGACAGCACCCTCTAATTAAGCACGAGCCTGAGGCACATTCCTCATTAGCAGATATAGGAAGAAGTGTCTCATTATCATTACTCCCTTTTCTATGAAAGCCCACAAGTTTTCTGTGCTCTTTGCCCTCTGAATGCCGCCACGCTTGAGACGGCCAAAAGAAAAAAACCATCACTAAACCATCGTTCCTGAGCTGGACTCCTCATTAAAACACCCGCTACTGATTCCTGACCGCAGTGACAGCAGCGCTAAGGAAACACCTATCCATGGTCCAGGACCATCTCTCCTCTCCGCGGGTGCCTGAACGCGGGAGGTTTGCTCCGCGCGGGCAGGAAAGACGAGGCAGGGCTCCGTCTTGCCTTGACCCAATGCCTCCTGCTTGAGGATGTCTGTGTTGGGGCCGGTTCGCTGAAGCCTCTGCCGTGGCATCGTGAGCCCCTGCCGTGAGGGCTGTCCCCTCCTCGGCTCCACGCCAGCAGCTCCCGTTGAGGTTCAGCTCCACGCCACGTGCCGGTGGCCCCTCTGATGCAGGGCTCTGCTTGGGCACCATCCAAGGACCTGAGGGAGTGTCCAGAGAGCAGCCACGGAGAGGGAGGTGCTGGCTGAGTTGAGCTTTAAACCCTACCTCTATCCCAGGTCCCTCTGGACCCTGGGACAACCCCTTGCACTTCCCAAACAGCTCAGGGGCTGGGCAAGGGGATATTGCGTGCGGTTGCAGGCAGGGCTGCACTGCAACATAGGAAGTTTTCTTAGCAAGAGATCCAGCTGCTTGCCACTGAGGCGGATCCAGGCAGCTCCAGCACATCTCAAGAGGTTTGGACAGCAAACGGCACCTCTCCGGTCTCCCACGGAGCTTGGGCCGCCCTTGGGCAGAGGGATGTGGGTGCCGCCTGGAGGTCCTGCTCCCATTGCAAGGGGCTTTCCCAGGCAGCCCCTGCAGCATACCCAGGGCTTACGGTGGCATCACCGCACTGCAACGCCACAGTAAGCTGTTGCTGGCAGTGGGTTTCAACCGAGGGATCAATCCTCCCACTTCTTCAAGGGCTGTGGGATTAATAGGTTTGCCGATGGGCAGCTCACACCGCTTTCAGCTGGGAGCGATTAGTTGCGGGGGAGAACAGGGGCGAGAAAGGTCTCCGCTCAGCTGCCCATGCCTCAGTGGAGGCACTTACAACCCCGCGTCCAGGACTGTGCCAGCTCCTGGGGGAGAGAAGCATCACGGGACGCAGTCCGGGAGGCGTCAGCGGAAACGTTAATACCGTCCCTCTCCCCGTCACACACGGCAGAGAATTAAAGCTTAGGGCTGAGCTGTCTTACGCGTTTCCCAGGCACTCGAGAGAGCATCTACCCAGTCCACCCTCCTGCCCACAGGATGATCAGCTCCACCTAAACCCCCTCTTAAAAAGCAGCAAGGACAGATGCTGCTTGTCCAAGCCAAGCTATCGGGCAATGGCAAGAGCCCTCACAAGCCCAGGTGTCAGGTACCCCCAGCGTTCCCGGTAAAAACCAGCAGAAAGGCCATGCTCAAGTGGCTGCTGGCTGCCAGCCAGGATCAGCCGTTCGGATGCTGGGAGGACATCACCTTTGTTCATCCCTGCTTCTCCTTTCCCCTCATTTTATGTCTGTGACGGACACATCCCCAGTCCAGCTCAGCCATTTATTGCAAGCAGCAGCTCTGTTTAAGCCAGCCCTTTTCTGAGCACAAAGAGCTCCCAAAATCCATGGGGATCACCTCCTAAGTTGGTCTATTGTCTGAAATCGCTGACAGTCCCTGTGTCCTCGGGCTCGTTTAGGAGAAGCTGAATTCAAGAGAAGGAAGGCACGGCAGCAGAGATCAGAGACCAGCGACTGGTGACGGACAAGTCACCAACAAGTCAAACAGCAGGGACAGCGCACGGGCAGCACCGCTGGGCTCTCAGAAACCTCACGCGTGGCAGGACGCATGAGAGGGGACGCTATAAATCCTCCCCTGCAGCCGCTCCCCATCCTTTCCCAGCGAGGTTTCCTGCCCTGGCACCGTGCAGAGGTGTGGGGCTGACAGGCAGGGTGGAAAGCCAAGGACGGGATCAGCAGGGTGCTGCCGCCTCCCGCTGCACTCCTACTCACCGAGTTGGTCCCCAGGATCTGCAGGTTGGGCTTCTCCGACTCCAGCAGCTTTGCCACCATCTTCAGGAAGCTCTCCACGAAGAGGTTGATGCTCTGGCAGTGGCAGGCCATGAGGAGCTGGTCCAGGGCCTCCATGGCAATGCACACATACCTGGGAGCAGGCAGAGGCCAGGGTCACTCCCCGACAGCAGCACGGGCCTGCGGCCATCCCTCCTCCTCCTCCCCTCTCCCAAACCGCCTGGGTGCCCACCAGCAAAACGGCAACCTCCTGCCCTGGCCAGCCCAAGGAGAAAAATTTTACACCCAAAATACCCTTGGGATATTTTTAGACGGTGTTGGCTGTTCCCAGCACTGTTCCTCCTAGCGAAGACCCAGCTGCCCCAGGACCAAGCCTGCCAGCAAACACCTTGCATCTCCCCCCACGCTGCTCGTGGGCTTCCCTTGCCCTGAACTGGTCTTTACATCCCGTGAGGGAGCGCTGGGCTTCGTACAGGGTGGGCTCAGTGTCAAACGCAGCCTTTGTCACAGCCCGAGCTGATCCTGGCCAGGGAGGAGGGACAGGACGAGAATGCAGAATCAGGCTGCTGGGTTCCAGAAAAGCTGTGCTTAAATATACAATAGAGCAACCCTGCAGAGCATATTCACATCTCCCCAGAAGTTCCCGGGGTGAGCAGGGTTTCCTCCAGCAGTGCGCAGACCAGGACGCAGCATTGCCCACACCAGGATGACCTTGGTCCCCGTCCCTCCTCCGGGGATGGGGCTCAATCACTCAGTCTTGGCTCCGCGTGCTGAACGGGGACGGGGGAAGCCCAGAACGTGGTTCAAATACAGCAGCAAGACGGGACGCATCCGCGACAGGTCCTTGGGCCACGCAGGGGGCCTCCCTGAGCGCAGCACATCCCTTCGCCATCCCTCCCGACCAGGCTGAGCTCACTCACAGACCACCCTCTGGCAGTCGGCTTCGCTGCAAGCTGCTATGGCGCATCTTCCAGGCTATTTATTAAACCAGTCCTGCAATGCTCCCGCCTCTGAGAGGAAGCTGGAAGACCTCGTGCCCAGCGATGAATCTCGATCAGGTGCCCGTTACAGAGCTGGCCAGATGCTTATACTGCAATTGCAGAATTTCTCAGCTGTTGCTTCGCGTTTCCAAGACAAATTGGACCAGTTGCTCGGCGTGGCTCTGGCGAAGCCTGTTCGCAGGCTGGTCCTGCGATGCTTTCTGCACCAACAGAGTCCGGTTCATTACCGGCGCGGTGGCTGGAGCCCCTGGATGGGCTGCTTGTGCAATGACCACGCTGACCTCCAGTTGCTGGTCGCCCGCTGTGTGCGTAAAACCCAGCGAAGAAGCAAACCCCAGCCTCCGACCGCTCTGAGCAGACATTTATTCCAGCTGGAGTTGCCCAAAACACAGAAAAAACCCAAATGGTGACTGCACCGAGTCTCACAGCTCCAGCTCTTCTTGCAGGACCTCTGAGGTACCCAAACATCTGACAGGGACCCGGTCCCAGGACACTGGGAGTAAAACAAACTTTACAGCTCCTTACCCCCTCCCTTTGACTCCTGCTCTCTGTGCAGCCGTGAATCTTTGTACCATGGCAGCTCGCATCAAGCCCAGATCTGCCACGGCCAAGAAAGCAGGAGGTGGCAAGCACAGATCTCTTTATAGCGAGCACAATTCCTCCTTTAACCTCCATTTTTCGAGCCAGCTCCTTGCCCGGCTGGATTTGCAGCCTGGGTGGCATGCAGCAGCCACCAGCTTGTGCTGCAAGAGGGACACCCGAAAGCACCGAGCTCGCCAGCAGCGAGGCGGGCGGGAGCTGCCCATCTACTTGCACCAGCCCTGCCTGCGCATTAAAGGGCAGCTGGGGAGGCAAACTGCCCTCTCAGGGAAAGGGAGGTGTCTGATAAACCCTGGACTTCCAGGTTCCAGCTGGTAAAACACAGCAAGACCCACCCCTTCTCCTGAGGCCCCAGAACTGTTGAAATCTGGCTCCGGTCTTGAGTAGATCCTCTGGTGCCTTGTAGCATGGTTGAGCTCATACTGCAGCCTGTCCTTCAGACACCATTACAGCTCTTCCAGATACTGTGAAAATAAGCAGCCAACTATTCCTGGATCTGTGAGGCTCCTACCCATCTGTCAAACTGGGTTAAAACTGGCCCAGAGGGAAAAAAGGTATGAAGACGTGACTGACGACCGGCATGAAGCATCAAGCTCCTTTCTCGTAGGAAACAAGGCTGAAAACAACATTCTGTGCCCAATATTATTGCAACAGCAATTGTCTTTTGGGGACAACTGGACACAGGCTACCAAGAGGGAAAAGGGACACTTGTGGAGTTGTCACCTCTGACCTACCCCAACCATCCTCTTACAGATGGTGGGTTGCATTGCTGCAAACTCAAACAAGAACGCTTTCTCCTTTTAGCAATAAAGTTAACAAAAAGATGACACCCAACGGGCCTGAAATCAAGGCTACCTTCATCTTACGCGCAGGAGAGGCACCCACGTGCTCGGCTGCTCTTTCAAAGCCCGGCTGCGGTGTCTGCAGCGGGGCAAGCCCTGCTGCTCCAGCCAACACCGACCTACAAACGAAAGGTTGATCCAAACCCATTTCAGGCATTTCAAAGTTAGACTCTGAAAATTAGCTAGTGCTCCAACCCAATTACGTGCCTATACGCACAGGCGGCGGAGGAAGGAATGCATTCCCCCCTTCACCCACCGAGGCTTGTCATTAGATGTCAAAAATCTTTGAAAGCCTTTCTTTTCCCAACGTAGCAAGCAGAGCCTGTTAACAGCCGCTTAACCACAAAACTTCAGGCAGAGCTTTGAATGTCCTGTCACTCCCGATGACGGGTGATGCGGACGAGGCTTTGAAGGTTTTCCAACTCTAACACTTCTTAGGCGGGCCGCTGGCTTCTTTTCCCCCGGGATAAAAGGCAGGCTGAAGTTCGCACCACGAAGCTGAGCTGTGTTTGTCTGCCACGGCTTTGTTCAGGAGACAACAAGAATCAATCCAGGAGCTATTTCAAAGGGAAGGAGCCCTCCCGTGCTCCCCCAGCATTCCTAATCAGGGCAGTCAGCTATTTCCAGGCCGGGCGCTGCTCTCTTTGCAGTAAACACGGCAAAGCCTTGCTGGAAGCGACGCGGGGAGGGAAGACGGAGGGAAGGGGGCCCAGCCAGGACCACGCAGGCGAGTCGGACAGAGCAAACACAGCAATCCCCATCCAGCCCAATGCATCCCCATCACGTGCTCTCTGGAAAAGCGTCAGCGCGCTGCCCCTCATCCTCGCTCCCACTTGTGCCACATCACCATAGCTCAACAGAGATGTGCGTGGGGTGCAACACACCCAACCTTGTCCTGAATAACCCCCAGCAAGCTGCAGCCAGGGCCACCCTGTTTAGCTGCTTGCCCACACCTAGCCAGACTTCCACCTGGCTCTGGAAGAGCCACCATGGGCTTTTAAAGGCCAGGAGGGTGCCACAGGCTCCTGATGATGGCCCAGAGAGTTGATGGCAGTCTTGCTGCTGGGGACAAACACCATACGCACGCAGACTCCTCAGGCACGGACAGCACGACGCCAGGGAAACACTACATAGCTCTCAGCTTGCCTGGTCCCTTGCAACTTTGCAAGGAGTATGCACATTGCTGCGTGCTCCTGTTGTCTCACTTTCGGAGGCAGAACGTGCTCAGGTCTCTCTGCAGCGCGCTCGTAGCTTCAGGACACCACGGAGCACGCAGGAGCTGCATACCCCACACATCCTCCCCCTTGCCTGAGCCCCCTCTACTATCTAGTGGCCCATCGTTATGCCAGTCACTGGAGTGGCTGGAACAGCCTCACCGCC